TGTATAGTTCATCAAAGGGGATGGGATTAAAGCCTATTACATAAGAGTCATCATAATGGTAACCCTACTTAAATGACTGGAGATCCCAAGAACTAAGTTCAAAGAGATAACTAAGTTATGTGTGGCTCGCCAAAAATCACCAAGGGATTAAAATTCCCTACCCATTCCTATGGTGAGAGTGATATCTGCAACATGTGTTGTATGCAGGGGTTTAAGGATAAGCTTCGCTTTTAATGATTACTTATATCTTAATTTAGGCATAAAAATCAAGATGAGTATGAGAGATACTCACAATAAGAATTACCTATATAAGTGTCGAACTGGGGCCGATTCTATGAGAATAAAGAGGCTAAATTCCCTAGAAGCACTCATGAATAACTAGGAGCGTTCAAGGCCAAAATGAACACAACCGTGAGAATCACAATGTGTCAGAAGATATTTTTTGTGAAATCTATTATCTTGGTTTACACAAACGGTTGAACAATTCAAGGCATTGCGGCTATTAGTTAGCTAGTAAGTCCGATAGGTTATCACTAGGAAAGGTTCAAGGTCGAAAGCTACCTATCCTGATGCAAGATATTTTCGATTTATGCTCTTTCAACAAATTCTGCATATTGTTGCATTTCCATTGTCATCAGATTCTATTTATGTGGGGGATTGTTAGAAATGGTTTTGAAAAAATTAGAGTTTTCCTCAACTTTGGTCTATTTTTTAGGTGGGGACCCATGCGCCAAAGTTGGCGGGTCTAAGTGGTAACGTGTTCTATGCCGCGTTGTGATTCATGTAGTATATTTGGTTGTTTAAAACCATTATCGGGTGAATGAAAAATTGAAGCCAAAGTGAGCTCCATAAAAATGGAGTTTTAGTGGAAATTCCTTAAGGGTTTGAATTAAAGGCTTGTCCCACATTGGTTTGGTGGGAAAACTTTTGTGGGTTTGTAAGGCTTGAGTTTGTAACTTGGGAAGGGCCCTAAAGGGCACCCCAAGTTTGTAGAAGGGAGAGGTTATGGACTGGGCTAGACCTATTGGAACCAAAAATAAACACACGCGCGAGCAAGCCACTGTCCATCCGGCCGGTTAGGCAGGCTGGGCTGGGCTTGAGAGCGGGCTTGGGCGCAGGTGCGTGGTGTGAGGTTGGGTTAACTTGTCCGGCCCAATACTTATCTTTTGGTCGAAAAACGTTTGAATTTATTTTATTTGGTTGGAAATAAAATCTGTCCATTTTTATTTCAAATTCTAGTTGGAAATAAAATTCAAATTTTGGTTTGCACCTATTCAAAAATTTTGTACAGTTTCATATCTGTCCAAACATATCCGAATCTGTTCAAATTCAAACCCAAAACAGGTTTTTATCTGTTTGAAATTCAAACCAGATCTGTCCAAACAGGTACCATACATGTTGGATTCAAACCAAACATCCACCATTTTCATCTATAAATAGGTAGTCCCTCAATTGATATTTTTACTTGAATTTTCGTCCAAATTCGGCCATTACTCTCTCTGCATTTTTGCTGCATTATTTTCTTGTGAGAAAGAGGAGTGTAAACACAAAGTGTGTTCATTTTGCGAATAATTTGTAGTGCTACTATTATTCGTAGTTGATCATTTTATCCTAGGAGATAGGCGTCCATAATCTGAAAGCACCATGAAGAGGACAGATCTGTTTTAAGGACACAATGTTAAACACTGGACTTGATCAGAATTTTGTTCAATAAATACATAAGGTTAGTAATTAATTTACTTTATGTTTTATTTATTTATTTTTATCATATTCTGATTTTGTTTTTTGTAACAAAATAAAAATCTATTGTTTTATATTATTTTCTTTACTGGTTTGATTTTTGTAATCAAACAGTCTCTCTCCTTCTTTATTTCTTTTGTTTGTTGTTAAGTACACAAATATTATTTATTCTTAATACAGTGAAGATCGCCCAACAGTAATAAGTGGTAGGTGGTGGCACAGCAGGAGGGATTGGAAAGAAGAAAGAATTAAAACGTTTTGGGACAATTATAAAAAAATAAATAATAATAATTATGATTTTACTATTGTAACAAAATAATTTTTTATTTTGTCAAATAAAATTATAATATTTTAATTTTATCATAAATCGGGTTCCAATCTTAAAAAGGAAATCAAGGTCTTGACACATTAGATGATTATATTTACGAAGCCATATGATATGAAACCTATATTATAAGAAGCATTAAACTGGCCTGTATTAATCAGTAACTTGAGCAATCGACTTGTTTTAGCTTAAGGATTTGGCTTTTCAAATGCACCAATGAGTGGGTGATTCATGAGGTTTTTGTATCATATTATGATTTTCATAATATGCATCAGCGAGTGATTTTGGTTTTGTTTGTAGGAATGAATGTTTGGAGGTGGATATTGTTGCATATGGAGGTCTGCTATACTAATACATGATGGTTGAATATAATACCAATTGTCATTTGTTAAGGGACTTATATTTTTTTTAGTTGAATTGTTGTGAGATGCTTTT